TTTTTAGTAGAGATGGGGTTTCACCACGTTGACCAGGCTGGTCTTGAGCTCCTGACTTGGTGATCTACCCGTCTCAGTCCCAAAGTGCTGGGATTACAGGCATGAGCTACTGCGCCCGGCCTAAAGTTTTAATATCTTCTCTGGACCAGTTAATCTCCAGTCAATCAGCACATGGAATAAATAACATTTTCACAGAGGAACAATATTTCACTTTCATTTGGTAAATGCTCACTGAACATTTATCACATGCCAGGGTCTATGCTGGGTACTCGTCCAAACAGAACTTACCATCTAGCAAGATACAGACAGACAGCCACGATACAACATGATGTGTGCCTAGGGAAGTATAGTAGGAATTCACAGGGGGTTGCCTAAGCCAGATGTGGAAGATGGAGAAGGCTTCCTGGAGGAAGCATCATCTAAGATGAAACATGAAACATGAGTAACACATACAATCAGGGAAAGTAGTCTTATCAGGCAATTGGTATGTGCGAAGAAGGCCCTAGAGGGAGACAGGGCATGGCCTATCCCAGGAAATGAAAGGAAGAGCTGTATTACAAAAGAGGGAGAAGTGGAGAGGTAGGCGGCTATTAAAGAATGCAGCTTGGATCAAGCAAAGATCTGGGCCACATGAAGGATTTGGGGCTTTGTCTCACAGGTCACAGACTTTGATGGATGCTTTGGAGTGGATGCTATAGACTGAATGTTTGAACCCCTGCCCAATTTCCTCTATTGAAATCCTAACCCCCAATGCAATAGTATTTGGAGATGGGACCTCTGGGAAGTGATGAGGTCATGAGGGTGGTACCCTTGTGAATGGGATTGGTGCCTTTATAAAAAAGACCCCAAAGACCAAGCACAGTGGCTCATGCCTATAATTCCAGCACTTGGGAGGCCGAGGTGGGCAGGTTACCTGAAGTCAGGAGTTCCCAAACCAGCCTGGCCAACATTGGGGAACCCTGTCTCTACTAAAAATGTAAAAATTAGCTGGGCATGGTACATGCTTGTAATCCCAATTACTCAGGAAGCTGAGGCAGGAGAATTGCTTGAGCCCGGGAGACGGAGGTTGCAGTAAGCTGAGATCACGCCACTGTACTCCAGCCTGGCCAACAGGGTGAGATTCTGTCTCAGAAAAAAAACAAAAACCCAGAGAGGTCGAGTGCAGTGGCTCACGCCTATAATCCCAGAACTGTGGGAGGCCAAGGAGGGCAGATCACCTGAGGTCAGGAGTTCGAGACCAGCCTGGCCAATGTGGTGAAACCCTGTCTCTCCTAAAAATGCAAAAAAATTTAGCTGGGCATGGTGGCGGACACCTGTAATTCCAGCTACTCAGGACGCTGAGGCAGGAGAATGGCTTGAGCCTGGGAGGCGGAGGTTGCAGTGAGCTGAGATTGCGCCACGGCACTCCAGCCTGGGCGACTCAGTGGGACTCTGTCTCAAAAGCAACAACCACCACAAAAAGACCCCAGAGAGCTCCCTGCTCCTTCTGCCATGAGAGGATACAGTGAGAACATGCCTAACTGAACCGGAAAGCAGCCCTCACAGACACAGAATCTACTGATGCCTTGGTCTTAGACTTTTAGCCTCCAGAACTCTAAGAAATAAAGGTTTGTTGTGAAAGCCACGTAGGCTATGGTATCTTGTTATAGCGGCCTATAACGATTAGATTCAAATTTTAGAAATACTACTCAGAACTGAAGAAAAGACAGTGTGATGCATTTAAGAGACTTCTGTTTTTAAGAACCTCCCAGAATCACTGTGGGGAAGGAAGAAAGAGTCTAGCTGAACTTTCAGGAACAATTCCCAAAAAACTGAGCCCAGAAGGGAGCTGCTGCCTCTGGCATGATCAGGAGGATCAGGAAGCTGTTCCACAACGGCGGGCATCCAGGCAGGTGGCTGCTGAAGACTGCAGCCTGCAGGGTAGCCCGGGTCAGAGGGAGAGCAGCCAGGCCAGGGCCAGGACAGTGGGGCATGGAGGGGCAGAGCATGAAAGGCTCAGCCAGGGGGAAGAATCTACAAAGTGACTTTGGGTGGAGATGTGGGAAGAGTAAGGGACGACACCCAGGTTTCTGGCATCAAGCAGCAGGTGGGACAGTAGTGGCCGATCATGAAGATAGGAACAGTGGATTTCAGGAGTCAGAGGTATGTATGGGCCATCTAAGGCACCAGCTGGAGTCAGGGCATAGTCACAGTGAACTGAAGCCAGGGTGGGAGGGAGTCCTCCAAGGAGGGAGCTCAGCAGGAAGATGGGTGGTGGAGCAAGCCTGAGGATCATGGAAACACTCAGGACAGGGGCAGAAGCAGCTTAGACCAGCAACGAGACCGGCAGAGAAGCAGCAGAGAGAGAAGTCCAAGGAGAACACAGTCTCAGGAAATGGAGGAAACAAAAGTCAACAGTGTGAATTACTGCTGAGGGATCAGCCAAGACAGGCACTGAGACTCCACAAAGAAGCTGATGGCCCTGCAGTGAGACGAGAGGGAAAGCTCGCAGGGAACACTGCCGCTAAGCTCCAGAAGACAAGAGTGCCCAAGGGCCTCGCTTCGTTTAAACTGGAGCTCCTTGGAAGGAAGGAGATAAAACATCACTGCTTCTATAAACATTCACATAGGTCACAGACTGATTCACAAAGCATCAGCAAATTATTAGAAGTAATTAGAGGTTAGCAAAGTTAATAGATAAAAGATCGACTTAAAAGAATCCGTATTTCTGTATGCCAGCAACAACTAGAAAATACGACAGAAAAATAAGGTACCAATGTATGGCAACAAAAACTATAAAGTATTTAGGAACCAACTGAGGAAAGAATATGTAAGACCTCCATGGAGAAAAATGTTCAATTGTTAAAAGAAGTAAGTAAAATGAGATCTGAATAAACAAGACATTCTATGGTTTGGGATAGGTCAATTTAACATGAAGACTTTAGCTCTCCCTAAATTAAATGCAGTCTCGTCATTGGTTTTATTATTATTACTACTTAGAAACTGAAATGTATTCCAAATGCATATGAAAGAATGGTGCACAAATAGCTAACTCTGCATTAAACTGAGAAAAAAAACAAGAGGAACTTGTTCTGTGAGGTAACAAACCTGTATGGCAGTGGCATTCAGAAAAAGATGGATGGGACAGAAGACGGGACAGAGACAAGTGCACAAGCAAACCTACTCTCTAATGAAGGTTGCCCCGTACACTAATGAGGAAATGACAAACCCTGGTCATGGTTCCAGCTAAGGAGAAAAAAGTTAAAAATGAATGTCCACCAAATACTATATATAGAAGTGAAGGCCAGATATAGTAAAGACCTAAACGTTAAAGGTAAAACCATAAAGCAAATAGAAGAAAATGTGGGAAAATATCTTTGTGACTTGTGGAAGAAAAAGAATTCTTAAATGAAGACCTCAAGGCACAAACTTACATATGTAATGTGTAAAACATTAAAAATTATCAAAACTCTGTTATTTGCAGTAGATTCTTCCAGGTAACAAAGATAAAATAAGAAGAAATAACCATTCTTTTTTTTAAAAAAAAAGAAAAAAATTTACTTTTTAAAAACAGGGTTTGCCATGTTGGCCAGGCTAGTCTTGAACTCCTAACCTCAGGTGATCCACCTGCCTCGGCCTCCCAAAGTGCTGGGATTAGACGCACGAGCCACAACGCCCAGCCAAGAAATAACTATTCCTTAAGATTATTTACTTAAACAAAAATATGGTCCTTGTGTACGGGGGACTAGAACAGGTGGCTTTAATTTTACATTTCAAGAAATTATTAAAGTCCTAGGTTCGTTCTATGCATTTTTTACTCCATAAATGCCACCACTTTAGTTCTTCACACACTTTTATCAAAGTACACATTAACTTCCCAAATACCTGAAAGTGTAGCTGATTATCAAGAGACTTATCAATTATAATATGCTTATACTTGCAAGACTTTCTAACTAAAAGAACTGATTTTACTTTCCTTAAAATTAGTGCTATATCCTGAATCCTAAGCGAATGGGCCAAGAAAGATAGAATTCAATTAAAACACAGGAGTTTCGAAAGGTATATTAAATACATCTATTATAGTTATCATAAGCATAACTGAATGAAATTAAAATAATGTATAATGCAAATCCAGTTGAAATCTCAAATAACCCTAAAAGCTTAGGGCTACATCTCAACTTTTATGTCACTACCAACAGCTTCCATAAGAGCTAGAATGGATACCTCAGAATTCAAACATACTAAGAACAGTCTTAAAAAAAAAAATCAGCATTTGTTCTGAAATGAGTTGCCTCAAAATTAAGACTTGAAAGTAATAGCTGGGGAAATATCCAAATTTGGGGCATCATAGCCTGAATACTTAAATTGTCACAGATTTAGTAGTAGAAATCTATTAGGTATAGCATTTGCAACCCCCAAATGAAGGATATTTACTTAATTTAAAAATTCATTCATGTTTCTAGCTCTCTTTTTTTACCATGGTACTCTGAATTTGGCCTTTCTCCAGAGCCAGTAAAACCTGCTAAAAAGGCTGGGCACAGCGGCTCACACTTGTAATCCCCGCACTTTGGGAGGCCGAAGTGAGCAGATCATGAGGTCAGGAGTTCGAGACCAGCCTGGCCAATACAGTGAAACCCTGCCTCTACTAAAAATACAAAAATTAGCTAGGCATGATGGTGGTCACCTGTAATCTCAGCTACTTAGGAGGCTGAGGCAGGAGAACTGCTTGAACTGAGGAGACAGAGGTTGCAGTGAGCCGAGATCATGCCACTGCATTCCAGCCTGGGTGACAGAGCTAGATTCCGTCTCAAAAAAAGAAAAAAAAAAAACCTGCTAAAAAGTGAAAAATGACATAACTTATTTAATATCCTATTTAATGTATTCAAATATTTCTTCTGTAAGCCTTTTTAAGTGCCTCCCAATCCCCCACCATCTATACCTTTGATATATTTCAGAAAATTCAATGTTACGATATAGTAATCCATAGGTATTCTAAATGTATTAGATTAATAAAAAAATACCTTGAACAACAACCTGGCTGCCTGGGACAAAGAACTGCTGTGTGCCATCAGCTGATTGTGCTGCATACTGTACAATTGTAGCACCTGGTGGAGGAGCTCCTGAATTGGTCATTGTTAATGCCTGCAGTCCCTGAACACCATCAGATCCTGGGTTAGAAATCTGGATTGTTCCACCTTGGGCTATAGCAACTTAACAGAAAAAGAAAAAAAATATTAGAGAATTTCAAGATTTATTTTTAATAATCCCATATTGGAAGAATATACTCTAGGTCTATTTATTGCCATTGCTTCTTTCTCAGGTCACCCTTATTTTCTATGCTGTACTGGGAAGAAAGAACAGCTTCTTCATGGGATAATACTCTAGAAAAAGTGTATAAACACTTGGAAAGAGTTCCTATTCAGAACTACTTGAGATTCATGGAGCCCATGGAGTGTTTCTCCTCCTTGGCATGCAGCTAACTGCATACTGAAGAGGAGTGGAGAAGCACACAGGAAAGTCCAGCTTCCTGGTTTTTTCCATTCTCTCAGATATAGACACCATCTTATAGACACCATCCTACCACTTAACGTTTCCATTTAAGGCCAGGTGTGGTGGCTCACGCCTGTGATCCCAGCACTTTGGGAGGCCAAAGCAGGAGGATCACCTGAGTCCAGGAGTTCGAGGCCAGCCTGGGCAACATGGGGAGACTCTGTCTCTTAAAAAAAAAAGAAGAAAAAAGAAAGGAATTCCCATCTAATATTGCAATTAAAATGAATTTGTACCTTCATTCAGCTAACTACTTTTCTAATTTATCATCAAAAGAAAGTAGTTTTTAAGAAATATGTAGGCTGGGCACAGTGGCTCACACCTGTAATCCCAGCACTTTGGGAGGCTGAGGTGGGCAGATCACCTGAGGTCAGGAATTCGAGACCAGCCTGACCAGTATGGTGAAACCCTGTCTCTGCTAAAAACACAAAAATTAGCTGGGTGTGGTGGTGGGCACCCATAGTCCCAGTTACTCAGGAGGCTGAGACAAGAGAACCCAGGAGGCGGAGGCTGCAGTAAGCCAAGATCACACCACTGTACTCCAGCCTGGGTGACTAAGAGACAGACTGTATAAAAAAAAAAAATATATATATATATATATATATATTTCTTTATATATACACGCACACACACATAGATATATAACATATTTTGGTTATAAAGCTCAAGCCTAGAAAACTGTAACCTCTGTCATTTTGTCTATGTCAGGAGAATCCTGAAATAGAAAAAGTTAAGTTGGAAAGGTCCTTAAAAAGTAACTGTAGTAATATGTGCTACAGTATTTACCTTTACCAAGCGCCTCAAATAACTACAGCTAATGGCAACAAATATGAGGTAGATTTCCTTTATAATACTAAGATTTGCCAGTCATGTTTAACGGTTAACATTATTGACTTAAATCTTCCAAAGAATAACTGATCAAATGTTTCGTTTCAAAATTTCACTCTAATAGACAAATAAGCACTGTTTAAAACATTTTGAAAGGTCTGCATATTTTAACATAAAGATTCCAACTGCATGCTTTAAACAGTAGAAATTAAATGGTACCAGAGGCTATGCTTTTAAAAAACACACACACACACACATATAAACTAGCTAACTAGACTTTACAATAAAGATTTTAAAAACATCACCAAAATAACATGACATCTATACATCAATGTAAATAACTTACAATAGCATAACAGCAGTGTTAAAATATACTCTGAATATTTTCAAGTCATTTCCAAACAGTTTTAATGGCATCTAGGCAAAAAGGTACTTAAGCGATAACCTGATAGGACAAACCTATCAGAACTATGGAACGAGTAACAAATTTTCACTTCTTTGACCTAAGGTGCCAGTGTCTACAGAGGAAGACAGACTGACATTTTTAGAAAAGTTTCCACACACTGCGTTCTTAGTGTTTTACTTCACTGACAGGCCAGTGTGGCTGCCAGAAACTGAAGATGCAGTTACAGAATGTCAACAGAACTGAGGCTGAGACACCCTGATGTAACAGCACTTTATCTGGCTCATCTAGAGCAGTATTTTCTGTACACACTTTAAAAAAACAGGGTACTTTAAAACCACAGCTTTCCAAAGATTTCACGGGTCTCAGGATTCAGCCCTCATCTAACTAACCTCTTACAAGTATGAAAATGTCAAGAGACACTATTTTCTTGGCCCTTCATGGCTAGACATGAGTAAATTTTTGAATGTGTATTTTTTAGTTGATAATTAGTTTGATGTCATAGAAATAATGCTTGAGAAAGAAGAGCCTAAGGTAGGGGGCCACAATGTGTTAGAAGTACAAAGCCTAGAAAAGAGCAGCCATTCAATAAACTGAATGAATGAATGGCTATCATTTCCTCATGACAGATGATATCATAAACAACTTAAGCCGCCTGTGAATCTAGGAGAGTTAAATGAGATACGGTTTCAAATTCCAATCACAGAATCTAATTTTTCAACACCAATAAAATTATCAAGCTTTTAAATAACAATTGAGTTAATCTGAGGTAAGAGTAGCTGTCTCTAAAGGTAAGAACCCCTAAATAGGTAGATAAAAAAGATCTTTACTTTCTTTTTTCTCCTCTTTCCTTTTGCTTTTCTCATTTCCATTTTTTCTTTTCGGTAATGTTTCCCCATAGTTCTGATCAAAACAACTTTGTTTTCACACTATGAACAGCTGACACATCAAGAATCTGTTTCTCTCACTTTATTTTCTGGTGACATCATTATATAATTAGATGTGGAAAACAAAAGCTAAACAAACACACACACACACACACACACACACACACACCCCTCACACATTGGCGCTAGGGAGAAAACATTTCTTCTGGCAAATCAGGCACATTAGCCTCATTTTCATTTTTTATACCAAAGGTGCTCTTGATTTTGTTATCAAATGACAGAAGACCTTCCCATTGAAAATGTTCTCTCATTTGAAAATAAACAAGATTTCCCAATGTCTCAGGATCCTGGAAATAGGTTTTATGTGGGCCTGTTTGTATTCAGAGATTTGAGGAGAAAACTGTTTAGGTTTCAAAATAATCAAGGATGGCGTAACATGTGCTTTCAGTAAACATAAATCAATAGTGAGAAAAAATAAGATGAAATTAACTGAATGAATGTAGACACATCTTCTGTTTTAGCTAATTATGTTTTTTTTTGAACGTATAGAAATTTTCCAGCAAACACAAAAGTAGAGAGAATTTTTTGTCATCCATTTACCCTGCCCACTCACCCCGCCCCCAACCCCAGCCTTTTAAAAAAATTATCTGGAAGCTGGGCATGGTGGCAAGTGCCTGTGGTCTCAGGTCCTTGGGAGGGTAAGGTGGGAGGATCACTTAAACCCTGGAGTCTAAGCCTATAGTAAGTTGTGATTACACCACTGTACTCCAGCTTAGGAGACAGAGCCAGACCCTGTCTCAATTAAAAAAAAAAGTGTGTGTGTGTGTGTGTGTGTGTGTGTATATATATATATATATAGTATTTCAAAACAAATCAAGTCTGGCTGATCATTTTTTAAAAATGATCCTGTGTAATGGATAAAGACAAGAAAGATGAATTTTTAAGGGCAGAAAGGGCCCGGCCTGGTGGCTTATGCCTGTAATCACTTTGAAAGGCCAAGGCAGGAGGATTGCTTGAGTCCAGGAGTTCAAGACCAGCCTGAGCAACATGGCAAGACCTCTGTCTCTACAAAAAAATACAAAAATAAAGTTTAAAAATTATTTACAAAATAAATAAAAAAATAAATGTAAAAGGTGGGAAATGGAAAAAAAGAGTCCATGACAATGTGGAAATAGAAATTATAATAAAATTTCATCTGAACTCTCTTTTCACTTGATGCTTTTACTTATGTATTTAAGAGATGGGATCTTGCTCTGTTGCTCAGGCTAGTCTTAAACTGCTAAGCTCAAGCAATCCTTCTGCTTCAGACACCTCAGTAAATGGGACTACAGGCACAAACCACCAAGCCTGACAATGTTGTATACTTCTTATTTATTTATTTAGAGATGGAGTTTCATTCTCCTCACCCAGACTAAAGCGCAATGGTGTGATCTCGGCTCAATGCAACCTCCACCTGCTGGGTTCAAGTGATTCTCCTGCCTCAGCCTCCTGAGTAGCTGGGATTACAAGCATGTACCACCACGCCCAGCTAATTTTGTATTTTTACTAGAAAGGGGGTTTTACCATGTTGGCCAGGCTGGTCTAGAACTCCTGACCTCAGGTGATCCACTGCCTCAGCCTCCCAAAGTGCAGGGATTACAGGTGTGAGTCATCACACCCAGCTGATGTTATATACTTCTAATCCTAAACTTATACCCATGAGCTAATTAAGATACATAAACGTGTAAATGTTTATATTTAAAACCACGCTTGTTCCAAATTGCAATCCAAAGAGTCATAAATGAAATCTCACTGCGTTAACTTTAAAAACAACGACAGACCTTTGTTCCAATGAATTCTCAGGTTTAAATTCAGAGTGACCATCAGAGAGTACCTATGAGTACCTGTACCTTAAAAGCCAAGAGGTGCATACAGCAGAAGGAAGACTAAATCATGCTATAAAAACAATAGCAACACCGAAGTTTAACAGAATTACACTAAGTAGTGCCTTAAACAATTTTGAAACAGTTACCTCAGAGAAATGTAAACAACGTCACTATTAAGAATAAGAACTGCAACTGGATGAACTCTTTTTTTTTTTTTTTTGAGACGGAGTTTCGCTCTTGTTACCCAGGCTGGAGTGCAATGGCATGATCTCGGCTTACAACCTCCGCCTCCCGGGTTCAGACAATTCTCCTGCCTCAGCCTCCTGAGTAGCTGGGATTACAGGCACGCGCTACTATGCCCAGCTAATTTTTTGTATTTTTAGTAGAGATGGGGTTTCACCATGTTGACCGGGATGGTCTCAATTTCTTGACCTCGTGATCCACCCGCCTCGGCCTCCCAAAGTGCTGGGGTTACAGGCGTGAGCCACCGCGCCCGGCCCCTGGATGAACTCTTGAATGTGTAAGACTATCATGTTCCAATTCCCTTTATGAAGAAGTGGAATTGGTGCTTATTCATGAGCCTCCTGAGAATTCTGAATTCTTACAAGCAGTTCACAAAGTTCACATTTTCTTTTCAAAATGGTGCGTTTAGGCTTGACCCACTTACCTTTCATGTATAAGAATTCCAGAAAGATGAGTTAATAGAAACTCTAGTAAGATTCCTAGTAAAACACAGTAGGAACAAGCAGAGACAAGGGACATTTACGGAAAAAAAACTGAAGTCTTAGGTGATAGTCTTTAATTGGTACAGGAAGAGGCTGGGTATAGTAGAATGGGAGATTTAAGAAACCTTTGTTTCAAGAGAAAATTTAATGAATTATGAAATTTCAATCATTTTAATTTCCTCAGTTGCTTTTACAAATTCACTCATTTAATGCATATCTTAACTGTCTTATGCAGCAAGTAACATTCTTTGTTAATTATTTGTTATTATTATTATTATTATTGAGACGGAGTCTTGCTCTGTCACCAGGCTGCAGTGCAGTGGCACGAGCTCGGCTCACTCCAACCTCCACTTCCCAAGTTCAAGCGATTTCCGCCTCAGCCTCCTGAGTAGCTGGGATTACAGGCACGTGCCACCATGTCTGGCTAATTTTTTGTATTTTAGTAGAGACGGGGTTTCACCATGTTGGCCAGGATGGTCTCGATCTCCTGGCCTTGTGATCCACCTGCCTTGGCCTCCCAAAGTGCTGGGATTACAGGTGTGAGCTACCACACCCAGCCACTCTGTTAATTCTAGGGCTATCTCTCTCCTGCCACCTCTTGGATATATGCTCCTGAAATAAAAGACTTTCTTTGCCCAGCATCACTCAACTGTTACACAGCACACTTACCACTAAGATCTGTACTTGCAGTGAGGATTCTGCAGGTACAGCTCACTTACTTGGTGTTGTAATAGTGAATTTCTATTTTATGTTATTTTTCCTATTTCCCAGGGAGTAGCCGATTCCAACTTTCAGTACTTAGTTTTTGTGATAATAGTAAGTTAAAAATAATAAGGCCAACTTTTGCCAAATATCTTTCAACTATTAAAAATGTAACTGCTTGTATATGGGAGAACTTGAATATATCTTATTTCTTCAACTTTGATACACATTTAGTTTTTTAATACCAGCTAACTGATTTTGCCAGACTAAAAATACTAATCTTTGAAAAAAAAGAAAGAAAAGCAAAGTTTGGGAGAAAGCCATTCATGGATAAAAGCTGAAGAATTAAACCTAAAAATATTTTTTATAATAAAATGTTATAAAAGAGTATTTAAAAAAAAAACAACTTACAGCTGAAAGGGAAGAAAACAACATGAAAATCTCCAGAAATTCTAGTAAAATAAATTCCACTATTCTAAAAACCAAAGGACGCTGGCAATTGTTTCCATTTCTAGACATTCTGGTACAACACTAAAGCATTAATATCTGCTAAGTTCGTTCTATAGGAAATAAGATCAATAAAAATGCATCTTGTGTGCACACCTTCTAATTAACTGTCTTCTCAAAAGTTTAAATGTTGTTAGTATTCACTTCTCAAATCAAAGAATTACCTACATAAATATCACAAATGTCCCCAAAATGCATTTTTAACAAAAGAAGTTCACTTTGTGTGAACCAACAAATGGCAATTTTTACCTGCAGACTGTACATACAGAACTATAACTTCTCATTAAAATAATTCTAAGATCATACTGTATAGGCTCGAATTAAGAATCAAAGTAAGAAATAGTCCATGACCTCCTATGTGACAAATAGGTAGGTGTGTGTGTGTGTGTGTGTGTGTGTGTGTGTGTGTGTTTTGAGACACAGTCTCACTCTGTTGCCCAGGCTGGAGTGCAGTGGTGCAATCATAACTCACTGCAGTCTCAAACTCCTGGGCTCAGGCAATCCTCCTGCCTTAGCCTCCTGAGTAGCTGGGACGAGTGTGTGCCATCACACCATGCTAATTTTTAAAACGCTTTTGTAGAGACAGGGTCTCACTCTATTGCCAGACTGGTTTCAAACTCCTGGCCTCAAGCAACCCTCATGCCTAGACCTCTCAAAGTGCTGGGATTACAGGTGGGAGCCATCACCCCTGGCCTAAGATCTAATTTCTAAAGATGCAGTTTTCTAGTTCTCAACCAGAACTCCTGACTCTGCTCCGCCCATCCCCCCACAGACACACAGAGTGAGGTTTAATGACAGTCCCCCGCCGTGAGCAGGCACCAATGACACAGGGAATGAAGGCACTGGGGCTGGCTGGAGGGAAAGTTCAAGAACATGAGACTCTGCTACAGCTAACTTAATTTCTGTTTCATGCCAACAGCAATGTCTTTTTCCCCCTACTTTTACTGTTATCGCCTTTGTCTTCACAGGAACCCCAGAATTGAGCAATTTAGTATTATTCCCACTCCAAAGACTAAAACCTGAGATGTGAATTTAATAAAGCTTCTTGCTCTGATCACTGGGTTTACAAATGGCACAAAGATGGTTCCTTCCCCACATCCTCTCCAGCTTCACCCCATATGTTTTCACAATTTCAAATCTTCAGCTAATAATATAGACAAGTTAACCCTACAGCATCTGCTTCCCTATTAATGTGTAAAGGAATCACTGCTCCTATCAGAAGACCTAAGTAGCATTAGGATATGCCAGAGAAATGTTAAGATGACAGCATCTTAATGGTGGCCAACACTTTGAGAAGCCTTAGCATCATTTCAGCAGTCACTTCCAACCTTTTCCCCATCATGACACAAGCAGAACATGATGATATGTGTACAGTCCACTGGGGTGAGTGGTTGGAGTTGCTCAAGGCCAGGGCTGACCAGCCAGGAGGCCCCAGCAGCCCCTTCCCAGTCCCTCTGGGGGCAGAGGGATGAGGCGCTCAGCCTTCTCCTAACCTGAGCACTGCACTGGAGGATCATCAGCTGGCGTACTCAGATTTAAAACTCACCAGAGATTCCCAGTGTGCCAGACAAAAGAGCATGCAATCGAGAGAAGTAATTTTAAAAATGACAATGTAAACCTCACGGTCTATTTCTTACAGACGGGGGGAGTTTTCTTTTCCTAACACTGACTTTAGACAAGTCTACTGGGTGCCCAGTAGAAGCTGTGAATACAGTACGCCCCAGATCTGCTAGGTATCATGGTAGGAGTTCCCCACAATTACCAACAGAGAATGTCTTTAATAGCTTACTGCTGCAAATCTACCACTGCTTCAAGAAAAACTCTAAAAAGCTCCAAAAACATCATGACTATATAAGGTCTTCCCATATATTAAAGATTATAGCTTTAATCTTTAAGTTAGTAGTCAGGTCTGAAATTAAGACTTGAGATTTTTTTTCTTGGTATTCCTACTCTTTAAAGGAAAAACAAGAATATGTCTAAAATCTTAATACCTTACTTGGATAAACACATTATTTAATATCACATACAGTCCAGTACCTAAGTAGCTCTTTTTGAAGTCAGAAAACTAAAATCATAAATCTCTTCAACAACATGACTGCTGTCAATATATTAAGTCATTTACTTCCAGAGCCAAGGGTAGCAGAGTTTACAAAACTCACTTTACTTCATATTATAATTACATGGGAAATTGATGTGGACAATTTCCATGGACAATTTATACTTCAGAAAAGATAGGAATATCACACTATTCCAGTAACTAAGCAGCTAGCTTAGGATATGTGATATCCCTATCCTTTCTCCTTTGTCTTTTATTTCTAGCTCTTGTTTTCTACTATTTTTATGTATCAAACATTCTTGATTTAGGACAAGAACTAGTGCTTTAATCAGAGCAAAAAGCACAGAATTAATAGTCCATTAAAATGCACAAGACTGAATGTAAATGTATCTGTTTATTTAGAGCTTTTGGTGCGTAAAATTTCAAATAAAATTATCTGTTCAATTGCTACAGTTTAAAAAATTAAATCATTTTTCCATTCTCTTTTAGGAAAAACTGTAGCACAAATTAACAGAGTAGAGAGTAGTGAAAACAGAATTACATTGAAAACATTCTTTAGAAAACTCTTAGGTTAGTAAGTAAAATATGTAATTGTTGGTAACAAAAGCCAACAAGAATGAAATACAGACATTTATGCTTGCATGCATCATAAAGATAACAAAACAATGTTCTACTAGAGATTAATATAAACATGTAAAAAGGAAAAAATTCTGCCTTTATTTTTATCCGAAAGTGTTCTATATTCAGTAGTTAAAATTTTTACTTTTCAAAATTATATGACAACGGTCAATACACAAATATCTCACTTTTAAACATATACTTTCATTCTATGATACAGTTTAGGTATTAATAACGCATTTCAAAATGGAACAATTTAATGCCAAAACCTGAGTTGCTTCAATATAACTAGAGAAGACTTAACGCTAGCACTGTATCATATCGAATTGCAGCATACATACTGTATTGCCCCGTGCTAGTCTGATATATGCTAGTTGGTACTGCCATGGTAGCAATGTTAGGTGGTGTTCCTTCTTCCTCTGATTTTTCTTCTTCAATCTTGGGAACACCAGGCACATCAGAGGACAGTTCATTCAGTATTTTTCTAAAATGTAATTTAACAATGTAAGTCACTAAGATATATGAATGAGTCTTAAAACAGAAAAGCTATAAAGGAAGAATTTATTTGATGTATAATTATTCTACCATTTTGAAAAAGTATCTTTACAGTAGGAAACTTGGTTAACTTACCTGTAAGAGGGTCTTCGTGAAAGGATTTCTCTACGTTTATGAGAATCAATTACACCTTCTGATTCTGCAGATTCATCTGTCTCTGCAATTGTTGCTACCTATAATACAAGATTTTCTGAAATGCATCACAAAATATATTCTCTTTTCCCTCATTCAAAAACTGGAGGCTAAGAGTCTACATGTGCAGCACAGAGCCAGGCACTGTGGAAGCAACCAAGCAATAGAACCCAGTGAATCTGCACTAATGGAGCCCACAGTCTGACTCAAGAGAGGAAGCACAGACACAGATTTCACTTATAAAACAAGTATGTGTGGAAAGGAATGATACGGGTAATACATGCTATAGAAATACAAGGGAAAGAGTGGTTGGGATGTCAAATGAGGCACTGCAGAAAAGAACAAAATGTGAAATACCCAAGACCTAAACTCCTCAACCTTAAAGTGCTCCTACGGATCCAGCAGGGAGCCAGCAAGGGGCAAAGGCAGAAGACAGCTCCCGGATCACACTGCTCTCCCCACACTCTCACAGCTGGCACTGGTGTGAGCTGGGTCTTCACATCAGCCATCAGGCCCAAAGACAGAATATTTAAGTAAAGAAGCAAGTCAGGAAGCATGTCTGGGTAAAGTCAGGATTTCTATTACAAGCAGTAAGTTAGGGCTTGGTGCCAGTAGGTCCTGAAGATCCAAATAAAGAATTTCTCCTTAAGAGAAAGATAGAGTTTTAAACATGATTTCATTTTTCAAGTCAAGTAATAATACCAGGATTTGATTATTAAATAAGTCAGAACACTAAAATAATGAATCTCTTCAACAACATGACTGCTTTCGATATATTCAATTATTAAATACTTAGAGGGCCTAGGGTAGCAGTTTACCAAGCTCACTTTACTTCATATTGTAATTATATGGGAAATTGATTTGGACAAAAATCAAAAGAGCTTATTAAAATATCAACAATGCAAGCAAGAATATATACTTCCCAAAGCACATGGAGGTATGTATATATTCACCTCCACATGACTGCGTCTTTGCTCATGAACACCCCACACATGAACACACATACCCAATCAACAGAACTTACTGAAAAAAATGTTGTTGCCTCAGATAGTCATATATCACCACCAAATATTTATGACTTTACAGCGGGCTCTCACACATCTGTGATAGAATCATAACAACTCCCTTAGGTGAGGTACGCTATTAATTTACCTATTTTAGAAAGGTGAAAATTAAAGCTCATGCAGAGAGATTAAGTGGCTTGACCATGATCCAACAGTAAGTATTCTAGGACCAAGGTCCACTAGCACCTCTCTCCACCAGACAATTAAATCATTCACTTAGCAAAACCCAAAGTCTCCTGAATATAAGATAATACTTTCTTTCAGCCGAGTGCTGTGGCTCACACCTGTAATCCCAGCACTCTGGAAGACTGAGGCAGGAGGATCACTTGAGGCCAGGGGTTCAAGACCAACCTGGGCAACATACTGAGAATTCTGTCTCTATTAAGTAACAATAATAATAAATAATAACAGACTATACTTTCTTCCAATACCAGCCAGGTTGAAACTAAATAGAAATATGTGTACCCCAATAAAAGTCATAAAACAAGGAAGAGGCTGGAAAGACTTTCTTGTTTTATAATTAGTATCAGACAGAGTTAGAAACTCTTGGAATCAAGGGTCGTCATAGGAAAAAAAGACAATGATGAGATTATTCTTATACTTTTGGGCAACACAGGAGAAGACAGCCATGCCACAAAGATAATCAAGCTTTCAACATATGTGAATGTCACGTCAGATTTCTTGTTGCAACTCTCTTCCTTCTTCTGTGATAAACAACTTGAACACATAGGAAAAGAACTACACTACATATGTGTGTCTCCACAGATTTTTTTTTTCATCAATTGGTTTCAAATAATTTAAGCATTTAAAGGATAACAAACTGACCTTAAAAAGGAACAGAAATAAATTCCGTAATTAAGATAAGTATGCTTTAAGAAATACATAATAATTTACATCTATTGATGGAAAAAATGTTTTACCTTCAAGAAATGTTAAGGGTAAAATACATCTCTGGATCACGACAACAATAATAATCATATCTACAAATGCCAAAGTTTAATCTCAGAGGGATACATCAATAATATCATCTTACTAAGAATTATGTATACTGAATTTAAAATAAATTTCTATCTACCCACTAAGGTGACTATCATGAAAACAGCATCAGTACTATAATCTTTTTTTTTAAATAGAGATGGGGTTTCGCCATGTTAGCCAGGCTGGTCTTGAATTCCTGACCTCATGATCCACCAGCCTCAGCCTCCCAAAGTGCTGGGATTACAGGCATGAGCCACCGTGCCCGGCCAGCACTATAATCTGTTTATTACTGTGTTTATCGACATCTTCCCTGAGGAACCCTCAAAATATTTTTAAGCACCTTTGGGGAGCATGGCTAAATAAATCTGACTCTGCACACAGAACAGCAATGTGAAGAAGACATGAACTGCTCATCTGGCAATTACTCAGTCTCCAAATTAAGAGCTGACAAAGCTGCAGCTCTGAAGTGAAACCTACATACCTAGCAGGACACAGAGCACCTTACACAAGGAAAGATTCCTCCAAATATCTAACCAAAAGATCTGAGCATTAAAGCTTCACAAAGAAAAATGATAAATGAATTAGTGAAAGAAGAAAAAAAGGCTCAAAAAAGTCAAAGACAAATCACCCAGAAGGAAGCTAACCTGAACAGTGTGTATTTGTGGTGACTGAATTATTCCCTGGACATGCACAGTTTGGCCCGAAGGTAACTGCACTAGAGTTACAGCTGGAGAGCCTCTTCCGGTGCCTGATCCAGCTACAGAAACCTGCAAAAATGATCATCATTGAGGATTAAAGCTGGACCTTTTTGTTATTGTTTTTGCTTATTTTTAAGCAATACCATTCACTATTATGGCTGGCCTACTTCTCTTTTTCCTGTTCCTGAGAAATGACAAACCAGCTGGGGTACTTACACTGGGAGGCGGTTACTGTCCTGGAACAGTCATTTTCTGATGTGACAGATTATTAAAGAACACATGCTCCTTATCACTTTTGGTGCCCATACTTGAGTGGCTAAGAATGTTCCAACCACAAAGGTCTAAAGCAGTTAAACTACCTCACTACGACCTCACGCCTACTAACAGTGAAGCCTTTCTTATGCCAGAGCATAAACTACCCTCTCTAACTTCTTCAGAGAAATTGGAGATAGAACTTAAAATATGGTGAATGATTTTTATTAAATGTGTGACATATGATATTCTAGTATTACTCTAGATGCTTTGCCTCTAGACTGGTAAAAATCAGTCACTGGTACGCCCTCATCATCACTAAAAAGGCACAGGCCAAAGAAATTCCAGGACCTTTCAATTCCTTGGTGTCTCTGACCTAGAGAAAGCTCATGCCTTGAAGGCTGGTGAGGCCTCTGGACACTTTTCCTCTCCCAGCCCAAGCATCCAAAGAGGCCAGAACTATCATTTAGCTTTGGGCAGAGATCAGCGACAACCACCATCTCCTCACTACTTCCCTGAGTTCCTTCAACAGAGATCCCTACCAGAAAACACCATACCACCACCCACTCCTCTGGACTCAAAACCTGCCAGGTTTTCTAATTAGTAAACAACTGTGTCCCATAGGCCAGCATAATTTCAGAAACTTTGCCTCATTTTACTAAGATTCACTATTCATTATAACTTACTCAAGAGTCAAAGACCTTGGAAATGAATTAAGTCCCTGTTTCTATCATGAGTGGGAGTAGAACCACAGTATCTAAAACAATTTTCAAGGAAGCCTTTGTATGTGACTTCACTTTAAGGAACGCCAATGATTTCCAACTTATATTAAAACCTGAAAAGAATTATTAAAAACTAGGTTTATAACAAATAACTACGATTTATTTATATCATCATTCCCTTGGAAGACTTCTCTGGCAATCCAAAGTTAAAACATGCTTTATCTGTGTAAGAGACCCTAGGTGTTGAGCATTGTACTAGGTGCACTAGTGGAAAGTAGAATTAATAAAACTAGCACCTAAGAAACAATGGCACACCAAATAGTATAGAACTGACTGCTCCATTTTAGAGGCTGTGAGTACCACAGGAATACAGAATAGAAAGATCAGTACCTCAGTGAAGGCTTTGTGTAGATGCCAGGCTGGAGTGAGGCCTTGATCTAAACCTAGATAACAGCTGGACAGATAGTGAGAAACCAGGACAGAGGCAACCAATATGTAGCCCACGGGGAAAATTCAGCTTGCCTACCCCCAGACTATTATCGGCCACTTTAGATTCCAAGGAAAAGAAAAACATTATCCCATGATGGAACCAGTAGATTTAACAACTACAAATTTTAAAACATTGGATTTATTCTACAAATGTTTCCAGCACAAAAGGCAACTCTGTATGAATTATAAAAAGGCAACCACCTCTGTGGTGACTAATTTCTAAAAGATAACTCTTTCTCCACACAACTAATTCTTAAATATTTCAGTCTCAGGGCAACTTTGCACTCTTAAAAATTACTGATGACCTCAAAGAGCTTTTGTTTCTGTGATTTATATTCAGCAGAGGCTGTTAAACACTTAATAACTAGATCTTAAGGAGGAGGAACCCTGACTTGTAGCGTTTGCTGATTTCTGTAATACAAATACTCCTACTAAGGCTGATTTCAAGCTGCCAATGGATGACACTGAACACAAAGCTGGATAAAGATTATACAATTGGCTTTCACAGGTACAAGCCAGCTGTGCATATCACTGGTTACATCTGCTGATATTTAACATATTATAAATTAAAACAAATTTAAAAAATACTTTGTAACTCATTTAAAAATAATAAATTATATGCTAACATAAATAACATTATATGAAAAATGAATATATTTTCAAAAACAATGAGAAGCCTGGCACTGTTTTATATTTTTACAAATTATTTTAATGTCTGGTTTAATGAAAACAGCTAGATTCTCATATCTACTTCTACACTGAATCTGCTGCAGTCTGTTGCTTTAGTTGGTATGTGAAGAAAATATGGGCCTCACACAGACTCATGATTTAAAAATGGAGGAATATTATAACGGCTTCTTTAGAAAATCATGGATATTCTTCATTGATACTAAACCAAAACTTGACAAGTGGTTGTCTCTTAAGGGTTAATTGCAATGTACAATCTGAGACTGTATCAGTTACATTAAAATAGACTGATCTGTCTTGTACTTTGGATGAATCTTTTACCCATGCAAGATTTTATAAAATGTTGGCTCACTAAGTTCAGCAGATCTTCCAAATGTGAACACATTTCATCACACACTATCATAAATCACATTTCATTAAAGCATAACCAGCTTCATCAGAAAACTATGAATACTGTGAAGCTCACAATGGCAGACACAGATTTCCCAAAATTCAAAATTCTGGCTTAAAAGTTTGTGACGATTAACACCATGAGTTGGTTCCCTTGAACTGACAGGCTCACTTCATTTGTTTTTGAGAAAATGTCTTCAAGTTTGAATAGCCATCATTTGGCAATTAGTCATTCTTCTAAAGAAAATGATGTTCTGTGGAAGAACAGGCAGCTAATTCATCTTGGCACTCAAATAACACAAGTGCTTTTCCTCCAGGACTCCATGGGCCTTCAGTACGCAACAGGGGTGCTTTCTGCAACTGTCCTGCTTCAGGACACAGAATATCAAAACAGCATGGACTCAGAGTCAAGATTTAATGCGACTGGTAATTTTTACTGCTTCATCAAAGATATTCTTAAGTAAAACTGACTTTAAAAAACTGCAAGTGGATGGCAGTGAAGAATACAAGAAATACCCGTACAGTTTGTGTCACTCATTTGAGTTAAGGCACCAACAGTTTACCACTCCCCCACCACCACTGTTTTTGCACCATCACTACAAATATCAAAACAGAGAAAAAGAAAAATAACATCTTAACATTACTGTAAAAATGGTTTCGACCTAGCGAGCCTCCTGAAAGTGTCTCAGAGTCACCCCCAGGGTTCTGCATAGCACACTTTGAAAACAGCTGCTCCACACTAATCTAGCCCTGATAACTTGGCTTTCAGCTTAAAGAACTGCTCAGACAGGCTGAGATTTCAGCTCCAACAGAGCAGCAGAGACAAAATAAACACATCCAGTAACCCTGACAGAGTCCATATGTCAGAGATTGGCAAAATAGAAATTACACTTTGTAACTCCATAAAGCAAAAGAAAAAAAAAATTAACACAAAGAGAAGATTTCATTGACCAGCTTCTATCTCATCAGCTCAGGAACTGGGACATGATCTTTATAGCCAGATTCCGGGCTGAGCGCTCTGGAGGACACAGCATTCCACTACCACTTCTGCCACCCACCACTATGTGCAGGGAAGATCCACAGTTAAGTAAGGAGGGAAGAGTTGATTTTCCTCTCTGTTCCTTTCCTTTTTTGAAAATGCAGTCACATGGCTGGGTGGTGGGAATTTTTGAAGGTACTGAATTTTCTCAAATCAAAATAATTTTCTTTTTAGAATTAAGGAGCTCTCAAAGATACCTTGTCAGATACCCAGTGGCTCTTAATGTTTTACTCTTTTTTTCTAAACACACAGAATACGGTATCTGAAAACAATAAACTTGAAGCTGTAGGGGGGGAACCCAGGAGTCCTACAAATATTCTCACAAACTAGACCTATGGGTTGAGATGGCAGGTGGTGTCCACATTCACTTGTTGTGGGGAAATGACCCAGCTTCAAAGAAATCAGATTATTCTGGAGAACAGAAAAACAATTCAACAAAGATTCATGGGCATCTGGATAGGTATAAATCATGCTTTATGTTGCTTTAACCATCTTTCAAATACATTTCTCAAAATTTTAATCAGACAATAGCTCTATCAAAAATGGCTAAATCCTCATGACTGTACTCCCAGCACGCCAGGAGGCCAAGGCAGGTGAATCACCTGAGGTCAGGAGTTCAAGACTAGCCTGGCCCAATATGGTAAAATCCTGTCTCTACTAAAAATACAAAAATTAGCCAGGTGTGGTGGTGCACACCTGTAATCCCAGTTACTCAGGAGGCTGAGGCATGAGAATTTCTTGAACCCAGGAGGTGGATGTTGCAGTGAGTTGAGATCACACCATCACACTCCACCAGCCTGGATGACAGAGCAAAACTCTGTCTCCAAAAAAAAAAAAAAAAAGGCTTAGTCAAGAATAGCTGCTGCAGAGAAAGAACTTGTACCCACTAACACAAACCATATGCCTACAATTCTGGAGATGAGTTATACAGATTCTGTAACTACAAGGAAACTTCTGTATGTCCAAACTCTGAGCAGGGCAAAAGCTGATGAGGCAACTTTTCCATTAAACTGCTAAAATAAAGACTGAGAACCTGCACAAAGGACACACCTAGAGGTAGAATTCAAATGTCTCCTTTTAAAAAAGAAAACCCTTAGATCTGGAGAATTACCATTCTATATTCTCAGTTTGGCCAAAACTTCTTTTTCTTTTTTGCGATGTGCTTGCAAACAAAGGTCTGTAGTTTGGCCAAAACTTACAAGCAAGAGCATTGAGCTTATAATTACACCGGTAGAGCTAATGGGGTAACCTCCACCATTATTATTCTTTTAAAAAAATTCACATGGCTTCCTAAGTGCTAACATCTTAGTACTATTATTATACTGAGTGTGTGGGGCTACAGCTGAGGACATGGCTGCCTGTGAAGTAGGGTACGGTACACAGATGGCACAAAGGGAACAAGGGCAAGGAACGATCCAGTAACATGCACAGTATCCTGAAAGACAAAATAGGTAAATAAAGAGGCATCTTTTTTGATTTGTGCAAGGTGA